CCGGGCTCGCCCACCGAGCGCTGCCCGCCCCCAGCCGCTCTCCGTGCCACGGCCTGGGGCCAGCCCCAAGACGGCTTCGGGAAGCCTTCCCAAGTTGGAAGGGCTTCGGGATGTAACTCGTCCCCCTCCCAGGGCGCACCGGCATCTCTCTTTGGCCCAGGTCTTGGTGCGTGTGCCGCCCTCGCCTCTTTGCCCTATTAGAGGGGAGAAGGGAAGTAGGCTGGCAGCCCGAGCCGGGCGCGCGGACAGTATTCCGGGCACCAGGTGAGGCGCCCAGGTCAGTCCGTGTAAGCAGAACCCTTCCTTGTTCATCAGATGTAAATGTGACCCCTGGGACTGGTAGTAGAGGTTGCCACATATTAGCGGCTTGGCTTTCACTCGTTTTTTAACCCCATAGTATAGAGTTGGGAACTTGGGGACATTTTATCCGCTCCTTCCTTCTTCAGTCTCCTCCCTCCAGTGTGGGCAGTGGGTAGTGCTTCTTGTCCTCCGTTAGAGAATGAGAAAATGCAGAGTCTTTCTATATGAGGATAAACGCTGGCATTTGCTTCTGCCCTGGCCTCCCTGTTGTGACTCCGCTGCTTTTGATAAACGGCCTGGGAGGGTGGGGGATAGTTACATTTCCTGTTGTGGATTTTCAGGAATCACCAAGGTTGCTGTCAAGGCTTCAGTCATTTATTAGTTTTCAGACCGATTGGAAATAACGTTGGAATTTTGCAGCCTGCAGTTTTTGGTGCTCAAGGGCAGGTGCAGACAGCGGTCTGGAGACGGAGTACCAAAAATGGATAATGGATGGTCTTGATCTTAGATGTACGATCCGCGCCCCCCCGGCCCCCCACCCCCCCGCGCTTACAGGACCCGGAGGGAGATCCCTGTTTAATTTTTTAAGGCACACAGATTCAGTCTTCTCTAGTTTTCTTAATTCCTCCTTCCTCCCCATATTCCTCTTTTAGAATTTAAACTGGCATTTCTAAGGCGTAACCTTAAAACACCTATTGATTGATGTGGCAAAGTCCGGAATTTCTCTGTAATTAGTGAATGATTATAGTTTATAACAGCCTGTTGTGTAAGAAGTTAGATTTTGGCCTCTTAGATCAAAGAGTTTTTGTCTGTTATGATTTGTAACTGCTTCTTAATATTAAACATTTACATATTTCATTTTCAATGTGTTTTTTTTGTTGACTTTGAAAAGTTAGAGATAATTCCACATATTTCAGACTTGCTTACCTGTAAAAATGTCATCATAATCAAAAGTGTTTGTTGTTAAATTGGAAGCAAATATGACAAACAAATGGTTGTCTTAAAGCCCTGACAGCTCTATGAACTAGGTTCCTACTTTTCTCTTACTCCGCTTTCTGAAGTACTATATTAAGTAAATATTTGATATACCAAAGCTAGTTAAAGATGTTTAAAATTAGTAGTGGAAAATTTGAAACTTTGGATGTTTAACATTTGATGTGCATCGATATTCTCATGTTTCTGAGGACATTGTACTTTTATTCTTAGTATTATTCTAGTGTAAGCTCTGTTATTTTTAAAGTGTTTTCACACAATTTCCTTTTGATAGAGAACAGACCACTGAACTCTAAATGGGGCATCTGGGACATGGCTCCATTATGTGCTTTATTCCAAAAAGGGCTTAAAGTAGACAAGAGACTTTATTCACTTAATAAATTTCCCTAGAACATTCACTATGCCCCAGACACAGTGCTAGGCTCTGTGGGTCCAACTGGGAACAGGAAGACAACTTCTTTACACTCCAGGGGGATTGCATTCCAGTTGGTGAGCTGATAGTACACAACTGAATAATTACAATAAGTACCATTTAGGGTTGGTTCTATGGAAGATAATAATAATACTTAACTGTATATCTGATAGGGTTGCCTTTGGGAACAGGTGAGGTACTGTGTATGAAAGAAGATTGTGTAAGTTACAGCAATCTACCAGTGTGTAAAGGTATTAACTTTCAGGATTCTGTAGGTTATTATTAATTTTAAAAAGCCAGGAAATAATGACTGTGGATTAAACACTGACTTTCTCTTATAGAATTTTTAGCAAGAAGGGGTTTTACTTATTCTGAGAATATATAAATAATGATAAAGAATTAAACATGAATCACTTATGTAAAGCATCCAAGTATTTAACAATGAAATATGATATTGTCAGGGAATTTTTTCCGTCAGAAGAAAAGTTAGATGGTGTTCATGGAGAAGACCAATTTAAATGGAAATAACAATGATTGGAAATAACAATGTATTTTCCCTCTTTATGTCAGAAAAAGATCTTCCCTAACTCACTATGCTTTAGTTTGAATCTTCATCATAGCTTCAGACTTAATTCATTATCTATTATTATAGGCGTGACCTTACTGATTTTAGTATTTTGCTGATAACATCTTTAAAGAGACTCAGTCAACTTGCATTTATTGAATGCTTACAATGTGCCCAGCACTATATATGTGAAGATAAATATAATAGATATTATGTATTTATAATATATAACAAAATACATAAAGTAGTATATAAAATAAATTTCTGTGAAACATTAGTTATTATTAATAATGAAGTCAGATTTTTTTTCATCTGCATGAGACACCATGTGTACAGGGGTAAGAGGTCAGGGCTTTCTGCCCCTTTTATGCCCTACTTTTTGCCGGAGTGTGATCAATATTTGCCCAAGGTAGGGTTGAGGAGTGGTCCTCGTGGTGGGGATAGCTGGTGGGAATGGGAGTGAGAAGATTTGATTAAATCTTGTATTTTCAGTGAAGAATGATAAAGTATCTATAGGGTCCAGATTTAAATCTGAAGCCAATATTTTATATAAAATGCCAAGGGAACTGTGCAGGCAGGGACTCAAGCCCACAGGCTCCTGTTGCAGATCTGTAACCTGTTGCTAGGACTCTGCTTGGGCTTTTTGGGATGCATGTACCAGGCCCATAGTTGCCAGCATTTTACCTTCAGAGATCCTTTTAAAATGATTTTCCCCCTCACGAACTCTCTTTTGACAAACGGTCTCTGAAACAAATTGTGTTAGGAATACTTCATATGCCCATTTTTATTACTGAGAAACACATAAGACTTCTAGTCAGAACTTCTGATTGACTTGAGAGAAGAACTAGCATCATCAAATCCAGTTGGTCCAATTCCGGCCAAAAAGTGATGGGCAGCTGTGTTTTAGATAAGCTCATAGTCCTTTTAGGCTTTGTGAAGCTTTGAAACTAGCCCCAGACCTTCCCACTCCTATTAATAACTTTGAGTTCTGCTGGGGATCCAGGAACCCCAAGATATGAACCATTGTAGTAACCCAGACAATTGTTTTATTAAACGAATACAAACATTGTGCCCTTATTTTGTTTATTTATTAAATGTTTGCTGACAGCAGCTGTGTCCAAGCCTCTGTGTAGTGGAAGGTGAATAGATCAAGAGCCCAGAGGCCCGGAGTTGACTTTCTCTTTTATTAACTTGCCAGTCACTTCCCC